GCACTTTAGTGTTAACATACACAAATAAATCAGTTTAAAATTGTGAATTTCACCGTTTTTGCATTCTTGTTACTTAGATACTAAATTGGCGAAATTTAACTTTTCTTTTAATTAAAACTTTAATATGACATATTTCTATACGAAACTATATACTCTACATTACCTGATTATAATCTTCGTTTCAAAATTATATAAATAGGAAATAGTCGAAATGCACTAAAAAATAGGTGCCCATTTTCAAGAATTGCCAGACGTGCATGAGTAGAAACAAATATGATTTGAGAATAAGTGATGTAAGAAGAATTATGTAAGAAAGTTATATAAGTTACCTTAAAAAAAAAGAAAGCAATTTTATGAAAGTTTCAAATCATTTTTACTTCTTCGCATTCACGTCTGGCAATTATTGGAAATGAGCACCTACTTTTGAACTCTTGAAATAAGTTAACTTTTATTTCCTGTTTATATATTTTCAAAGCGAATGATGTTTTTTATCAGGTAATATCTTACCGCTCCAGTTTCGTGGTATTATTTACTTTATACACTGTACATTTTGTCATTTAAATTTTATATCCATTTTATAAATGTCTTTTTTTTCGAATCTGGTTAAAAAGATTTTTTTTGAAAGTTTGTTAGATGTGAAATAGTGCATTTTTTGTTCCCTTCTTTATACTCTACAAGTAGGTTTCAGAGCTAGTGTCGACCACATTGCAACATTAAAGATTATAGTCGAACAATCTATTGAATGGCAATTAACAGTATACTTAAATTTCATAGATTTTGTAAAGGCTTTCGACAGTTTACACAGTGAAACACTCTGGAAGCTGAAGTATTATGGAACACCTGAATGTCTTGTTAAACATATTTGTCATGCTTTTTTCATTATTTTGTAATAATTAAGGTCAAAATAAGTGAAAAATATTATGTTTAGCATTTTAATAATTTATGGTTATGAAATACAGCATNTTTTTTTTTTTTTTTGCTTTATAGATAAAATGCTTCAAACACGGCTTACTTCCAAACAATATTTTTCAAATTTGCACTTATTTGTAGTTATTTAGATCTGAGAGAAACAGCTACTCATCGTTGAAATTTCTTTAATTTACAAAATAAATTGTAGATAAATTTTTGAATACAAATGAAAAAGAAATTCAGACTACTTATTATTAGTACAAATATTTAATACAATAATTATTAGTACAATTCCGATAATCAAACAGATTTATTTTAGTAACTATTGAATTGTTTTTAATAATTAATAAGTATCAAAATATATTTTCAAACAAATTTCTTTCGTCTATAACATAGAGTTAATTGTGATAGTAGCGGAGCAGAAATGATTGAACTGATATTGTTACCAAACATGGAGCTCCAATTGATTGAGCTGAGTGCTCTAGCTTGTCGAAAAATGGTCAAAATTTTAAATGCAAGATTTGATTCTTTAAATCTTGCAATCTAAATTTCGTATTGTTAAAAACTCGTACACCAAAGTCAATAAGTTATTGAAAAATAAAGCAATAAAATACTGAAAAAATGTGAATAATTATCATAAAATAAGATATAATTTCCTCTCACATTCAAAATAATTTTCATATTTAAGTAATAAAATTTAGCAGATAAAGTATTTTTACATTTGGTTTACAGTTTTACATACATATCATGTCGCACAAAAATATAATTTGATTATAAATTCAATTTACATTGATTTCACGACAAAGAAAGTTGTTAATACAAATGTTTGCTCGAAAATTTATCAAGTAAAATTATCCCACTTCCTCAATACAATGCGAAAACCAAATCCTAACAGAAAGTTTTTATTTTCTAAACTTTTTTCCTTTCTTCAAAATTAAGGCATCTTCGCCAAATTTTACTTCGAAAATTTATATAAGATTTCTCCAAAGGTCAATATCCAAAGTATTTCTTCGAAACTTAAATCTTTCTCCTTAACCTGAAAGAAAATAGTTTTTTTGATAACATCCAGACATGGCGCAAAAATAAAAGCATCCGCTATACAATTGTCTGCATAATTACATCACTAGATCTGACATCGTATTGGTCATGTGAAACTTTGTAAGCCTCAATCGGCCTCATGTGGTTTTGACTGTGGTCACGTATTCACTTAAACGGGAGATATATTTTATTTTTTGAAAAACAAGATAAACTGAAAAATCTTTTTTCTCCATTTATTTCAACGTGAGAAGCATAATTCTCGAACATAAAACTCGATTCAGATTAATCTCAATCACTTGTTTTATCGTGAGTTTTTCGAAAATGCCTCATTTAATTTATTTTTAAATAATTTCAACAACTCTTTTATAATTTTTGAAACATTATTTAAGAAAAGAAGTTATTTAGTGTAAATTTTTAAGTTGATTTTATTTTTGTCTGAAATTAGCCGGTGAAATATCATATTTTAGATGAAAATAAGACTGAATTATAACGGTACTAAAGTATTAGGAACACTATGGCTAAGAATATATATAGGGGAAGAAGGCTAGCTTTCATAGGCATGATGTAAATCAGTCCCCTAAGGTTTGGTATGGTCCCTTTGCATAAAGGAAAAAAATAGTATTTCGAGGCAAAAACTGAAATTCTTGTAAGAAAAAAAATTTTAAAAAATAAATAAAAAACTGTATTTTTTGAACATTCATAATTTTTCTAGACTCATTCTTTAAAAATCAGAGATGATTTCGGTAAAAAGTTAAAAAAAAATAATAATAAAATAAAATAAAAAACTGAAAAAGTTATGCGCAAAACACATTTTAAATAATTGCAAAAGTATCTGAATTTTGAGCAAAAAAAGTGTGTATAGGAAGCATATATTCATAGAATATTATCAACGTTTCATTAAAAAAAATCTATGTGAGATTTTTTTTTAAAATTCTGTGAATACGAATCTCGATGTGAGATCTCGATGTGAGAATATAAATAAACTAAAGGATAGACTTCCCATTCAGATCAACAAAATTTTTCTATCCTCTAATGATTCACCAATTAATAATTTCATTCAATAACGTCTCGATATTTTATTTTTACAAGAAAAAGCTTTACAAATGTTTACGAGTATTAAATTTAGTATATTAATGAATATGTAATTTTTATAATGAAATTCTATGCATCAATCTGAAACTGTATTGTAATGTTTAATAATAAAATATGAAAAATTTGTTTGTATCTGTCTATGAATCTATCTTTTTACTTCAGTTACATTTGTATTAAGATCCTGAGATTTTGGAAAGAGAGTTTCACCCTTTTACGCAGATGAGACACTGCTGTTCCTTTTAAACCTCTTTTTCCTGACTCTCTAATTACAAGTAAAAATATATTTTGGTATTTTTAAATGAGAAAAAATAGTCTAATTGTTAGTAAAAAATCTGGTAGATTCTAGGAATTATATTTGCTATGAAATATAAAATCAAAAAAAAAAGAGAAAAAAAAGAATTTTGAAATTTTTTTAATTCAAATTTAAAAATTTACTAATAATTGATTGTTTAAATTAAAAAATTTCAATGATGGAAAATCTGTTTCTTTTAGATCTAAATCATTCAAAATAAGTGCAATTTCAAAAATCATTGTTTTATTATTAATTGTAATATATTATATAAATGTAAAAATTGTACTATGTTATTAATTATGAAAAAAAATATTGTTTAAAAATTATTGGAAGTTTTTACCTTTAACGCAGAAAAAGAAATCGGTCTTTCACGATGCATTTCATAACCTTAAATTATTAAAAAGCTAAATACATTCATTTTGATCTAAATTAATACAAAACATTGAAAAAAGTCTGAAAAATATGTTTAATTAAAATTCTGCATCACAGGGTAAAGGAGTATTTTTAACCATTATCTTAAAAATTCTGTCATTTCAATTTGTCAGTTCGGAAGGGACTTTAAAGAAAAATGCATGAATGAAATGAAAATTGAAATTTTTTCATAAGTATAGCTTTAGGCATTGTTGGAAATTAAACTCCAGGAGCTTTTCTTATTTTAAATTATTTAAAAGATTCTCGTGATTAATAGTATCATATAAACGGAGAAAAAAATTCTGGTAAAATTACCGCTCTGTCTGGTCATAACATTTTTGGTAAAAAAAAAAAATTATAAATAAAATTAAATTATAACGTATTTAAGAGATTCATTTGGTAATTTTTCCATTCATATGGTAACGGTTTGCCGGAAATTCTGGTTTTAAAAAATTATAATTCTTTTTAATACGCATTTAGTTAAAAATGCAAAAATGCAAAACTGAAACTGAAATTTAAACTAATAAATGGTTTTTATGATATGCCTTGAGAAAATTTCCAAATTTTACACATTTATCAAATTTTATCACACATTATAAAATCATATTTTGTTGTTAATTTGATCAAAATCATTGCAGAAGCACAAAGGAAAAAATTACCGACCTTTTCAGCGTTTCCACAGAGCCACAAACGAGGTAATTTTTTACCATATTCACGTAAGTTTTGACCATACTATTTTTCTCAGTGTACGAATGATTCTGAGCATAGGTAAATTTTATTTTGATGCAATAAACTTCTAAAATGAAGTGTTTTGCTGAATTTAGTAACATAAAATAAGGGTAATAAGTAACAACAAATAATAAAAAAGCATTGAAATTATTTTAGCTTATTTAACAGTGTCGGTATATACCTTTCAGTTTTGAGTATGACTTCGTAGACTTGATTAACACCAATTTTTTTATTAATTACTTCTTTTTTGACCCCGTACGAAGACAGTACAATTTTAAGAATTTACAAATTATTCAAAAATTTTTACTTATTTTTATAAATTAATGATAAAATTTATGAAGTTTTATCAAATTCAACAAACTTGTCTTATGAGTTGTGGTTGGACGATTTGCTATTTTTGAAATTCCGAAGCATGGCTCATGCAAACTCCATATTTATCTGATATGTAAAAAAAAAAATGACTGATGATAAGATAGAAAAATTTTGATAGAACAATATATTTACTACACTCTAATAAATGAAAACTTACTTTTAAGGTAACTCATTTCCATAGCATTCAGTTCTTCAAATGAAAAGTCTCCCAGTGACAACTTTTCAAAGTTATAGTTTTTCCAACAACGTATGGAAATGTAACAAATCCTATAAAAGAAACTTCAATGCTTTTATGTCCTTATCTCAAACTATTTAGAATCTAAATTTATATTGTTATTTTGTTATTGGTTAAAGGGTAATTAAATTGCGAGAATTAGTCCATAAAAATTTGAGACGTATTTACAAAAATGAACATTTTTATATTACCGTATGAGACAATTTGTTGTTTATGATACATCTGATAAATAAGATGATGCTTTAAAATAACAGAAAAAATAACCTATCAATTAAAATGTATAAATTGTCAATAGGTTACTAAGAACGTTAGTAAGGATTTATTATATCTTAAATATAGTACTTCTTACAAAAATGAGTATCAATGTTTTAGTATGAATTTTTATCATCTTCTTCTTTTCATATTAGTACTAGATATAACATAACCAATCAAAAGAACATGAAACCAACCAATTGGAAAAATCGTAAATGTTTATGTTTCAACATTGTGTAAGAAATTGTGTAGAAATAAGTGTTTTATTATTTTGTTTAAGAGATAAGATAAAAATATTTTTGGGTTTATATTATTTACACATTATGAACACTTATTTTGAATTCCAATAAACTCTATTTCGTTCAACTACAGTGTTTAGGAATTTTTTTCCAAAATAAAAATATTATTCGGCAGAATAATTTCATATTTTTATAAAAGTTTTAATAGTCTAATTTAAAGTAGAGGAGTACTTATTTAGCCCTACAATGTATTTGCATAAACTGTCTTATTAATTAATTTGACTAATTATAACGGTAAGTCTTTAAAGGATTTTTAAAAAAAATATATATTTTACATATAATGGATTTATTTCTTAGAAAAAAAAACGACAAATTACCTAAGATTTATGAAGAATTCAAATAATCGTTGCTCAGATTTGTTATCTGTTTATATAATTTTTATCGGTCATTTTTTTTATCAGGGTACTAGTAAATGTAGTTTTCAACTGCCTTTATGAAGTTAATTTATAAAACTACATTCAATTTAAAAAAAAATAATAATTAAAATTAAACCTTTCAAAATTGTTTATAACAGTTTTGACTCTTTGTAACTAATTTGTCCAAAATCACAGTCACTAGTAGTTTAGTCAAAATAGTTTTTCTTCGGTTAAAATTATAACCCTGATAAACATAGAACAAATGTGAGCAACGACTAATGATATTCCTCATAAATCTTTATTTATCTATGCTTTTTTTTTAGGAAATGAATCCGTTATTTGTAAAATACTATTTAAAAAAAGTTCTTAAGATCTTTAAATTCAGCAGCTCTTCACACTCCATTATAAAATCACACAGTGATTCCTTTTTTTAGTGACGTCATAACATTTTCCTTTGGTAATTAACTGCATAATCGCACGTGCATCTCGGTTACATATGTATTATCATTCGGTGATATCATAAAGTATTCACATTCTAACCTTCAAGGGACCGAAATTTCGGTTCACTAATGATTCACAATTTAACTAATGGTTCCTAAACTCCTCCCTTTTATTACACATTATTTAAATAAATGACTGAAAAATATTATGCAGTAGCAAAAAATTTGTTATTTTTCATTACTCTTCGTCTTGCGTACAAATAAAAATTAGTAATCTTTAGCTGATGAGCAAACCTCAACATCAGATATGGAAACACTTCCGACTCTCAGATAATTTTTCGTGAATTTCTGTTATTCCGCTTTTTAAACCTGTCTAACCTGCCATTCGAGCACATAAAATTAGTCTCTATAGATTGTTTTAAAAATCGGTATATGTATTTATTTTGAAGTAAAAATTTCAAAATTATTACAAAAAAATGGGGAAAAAATCAGTCGAAGACAGAAAGAAGTTCATTATATCCAACTTCCTCACTTTTTTGGTTTACTATATCCACTAAAAATAACATTATACGTGCATAGCAAGGCACGGGATCGAGCATTTCGTTCACTATATCCGGGAGTTCACTATAAACCGTGGTCACTATAGCGGGGTTTGACTGTATAAACAAATTTCACTATCTTGCATTTCGGCTTTGTTTTTTTCCCCTTCCCTGTGAGTTAATATTTAATAATAAAAAAATATTAAATATTTCATGCTAGAAAAAAAAGAGAGAAAAAATATCAAATTAAGAACATTTTCGTGTTTTCGAACATCAAGGCTGAATAAAGCTTTGTTTTTGTGTTATATTTTGCTTTGTACACCAAGACGTTTGCTCCATTAGTATCAATGATTCTTGACAGACATCTTCACGCTGATTGGTTGGTCGAGCAGTAAAATAATTCAATATAGCCTATAAAACTTAACCACCTTTAATAGAATCAAATCGTATATTTTTTAACATTCCGGCCAAACAAAAGGTCTAATGATTCTTTTATTGTATTTGAACAATATAAAAAAGTATGATATAAAACAATCTTCGTCTACAATTCAATACAGTGTGACGGCATGGCAGCAGAAACTGATCTTACAACAATTTATTTAAGACATTTTAAGTTTCAAGAGAATTTTTATAAAATGCAGCGTTCGAAATATTAGAATGCTCTTAAATGAGGTGAATTAGTTTTATTTAAATTTTAGAAATAAAAATAATAGTGCGATTTTTTTAAACGTAAATTTGTACTTTTGTTCTTGAAGATAGTTTTTTCTCTTTAACTGTCAATGTAAAAAGTGAAGATATAAATTTATGGAAATTTTTAAAATAAAAATCTGCTATATCGGCTTCAGAGTAATAAAAATTAAAGTAAAAAAAGTTGCATTTTTAATTATTTTTTATTTCTAACAAACTATTCAATCGATTTCATTCATTTACTTATTTATTTTTTGGCTTTCGTCATTTAAAATTACACAGTTTAAGGGACATAAAAATTCTTTTTTTTTACGATTCCAAATTATTTCTGAAGAATATTAAATTAAATAATAAAAAACAATTATTAAAAGTTACTTTTTTTTATGTAATTGCTATGGTAAAGCATGCATTATAAATGTAGGCAAAATGTTTTGGATTCGCTTATATAGTTTCAAAAATTTAGTAAAATATGCAGAGAAAAAAAAACCTAGCATAACAATATTTTTCAGATTGAGGTTATTACACCTTTTATATTATGGCTTGAATATANATATATATATATATATATATATATATATATATATATATATATATATATATATATATATATATATATATATATATATATATATATATATATATATATATATATGTTACTGATTTTGATATTTAAGATGTCAATGTGGGGGACAAATTAATTAGCTTCTTTAAGGTAAGCTCCTCAAACCGATTATAAAAAAAGAAAAAAAAACTTGCGAATTTTAAAAATTTTTTTTTGTTTAATTTTCTTTTTTAATTTTTCTTATAGAAAGCTCTATTTATTGTTTATCTAAAAAAAGAGAGCTCTGAATATTGTTAATTTTAGGAAACACGTAAAAGCAATGATCTGTATCTATTCTCAACGATATCAGTAAAGATATTTAACTCTTATAAAAAGGTAATTAATTACATAATTTTTAAACATATACTGTATACTTCACGAAGCAGTTTTTTACGCTGAAACAAATGAAACCAATCCTGAGACAATGGGTTTAATAGTTTAAAATTTATAAGGAGTTTATGAATATGAAGTACAAGTTAGTACTTGTGAATTTACTATACTTTCTTCGTCTACATCTCGACAAATTAAGAATTATTTCGCATGCATATTTTTATGCTAAATCAAATAAGACCTAAAACGAGCCAATAAGACTAATATTTCAAAAGTCAAAAGTGCGTTTTTACGTATTAAAAGTATTATTTTGTACGTATTACGTATTAAAAGTACAATTATTTTTTTTTTCAACTAATGTTTTATCTCACTAGGTTTGGCATGAAGCATTACATAAACAAATGTAGTTGACAACTAGATAGCAATTTTAGTTTCGTAATTAAGTACTATTCAAAAATAGTGCTTTTTCTTACACAAAAATCTCTGCAACTTTTGAAATATTAGTACTATTGACCCATGCTTGGTTTCATTAGATTTAGTGCTGACAAATAAACACTATACAATATCTCATTTGTTTAGATAGCGATTTCAGATGAGTAAAATGGTGCAAGTACAAAATATTTAGCCATAAAATTTTTATAACATCTAAATTACAACACTGATCGTCTCATGATGGATTTCAGTTGATTCAGTGTAGATAAGAAACAATTCCTCATATTTCTAAACAGGAACATGCAATTTTCTTCCCTCCCTATCGATTCTTTCCCTGACACGAGATATTATTCAATTTTAAACCACTTACTATGAGAAGGGTATTTATTTGAAATAAGCTTAAGTTCAAATGCAACATAACTCTGTGATATCACAAACATTTTAATCTTATGCTAGGAAACTCAGCCCCTGATCGCTTCCCTCATCAACCGCCACAATCATCATTTCTTTTGTTTCTTTAAGATAAACAAGCTGTTACATAAAAATTGAACATTTATTTATTAAAAAAATATTTAATTGAAAAATCCAATTATGTTTTTATTTGTTAACACAGTTTCACAGATTTAGTTTACAATTCGATTGGGTGAAAATTTAACCCTAATACTTTTTATCGGTTACTTTACAAAGCATATAAAGAACCTGATGTCATTAAATTTATCAAATTTCAAAGGATTAAATTTGCAGGCCACATTATAAGAATGGAGGATAGCAGGACAACCAAAAACGTTTTCAGTGCCAGGCCAACAAGTACAAGGAAAAGAGGACGGCCAAACCTAAGATTTTTAGACTGTCTTGAAAAGGACCTACAAGTTTTAAAGATAATAAACTGGAGAACCTTGGCTAAGGGCAGAATGTCTTGGCATAGGCTTGTTGAGAAGGCCAAGGCCCATCCTGGGCTGTCGTGCCAATGAGAAGAAGAAGAATTTCTATCGGTTACCATTGCAACTTTATTCGCAATTTTGATTTTTAAATTCTCAATTAAAGTTTGATTACTTGAAAAGCCCGCTAAATGTTTTTCTCCAATGAGATTATCAAT